TTTGTTTGGAGGTTTCGAGTGTATAAGAATGTGGGCTTTGATTGGTATAGATAGTCTTTATATGGGGACGTGAAAACAAACAATGGTGTGAAGGGATATATGGGACGCGAAGACGAACAATGTTGTGCAGGTTTCTGTAGACGTGAAGGCGCCTATCAAATAAATGATCAAAAAGTTTATGTAGTGAAGGCGCCTATCAATGGTGAAGGGAAGCTAGGGTTGAGGAAGCAAGGAGAGAGAGGATTATTATTATTTATTTAGAGAGAAAAAAAACTAGATGGGAAAATTAAAGACGAATTGAGGAAGAGGATGGAACTGACTTTTAAAGACGAATACAAACGGGAATACTTGATTGCTCTCTAAATTTTGTTTCTCTATCGACTCAGCTTTTGTACGGTAGCAACAACTGCTATGATACCATAAAGAATTCTAGAGAGAGAAAGGAACTTTTGATAAGATAATTGTGCCCCACATTGATTTCTTGTGGTGGTTCTTTCATTGTATATATAATAATAATACAATGGTATAATGTGTACATTCCTATCTTGTTACATTTAATATACACTTTCCTTTCTTGTTACTTTCTACAATGACAATAATATACAATAGTAATACAATGGTATAATGTGCACTTTCTTCTCTTGTTACTTTCTACAATGGCAATATTTCAATATACACTTTCCAGCTTGCTACATTCTACCATGGTAATATTTTCTAAGTAATAATATTATGAGACCCTCCCACACCTATGTGAGTAGGACACCAAAAGATCACCATTAAATCTTGATACCGATCTCTAGAAAAGTTATCAATAAACCAATTCACCCAAGTCCCACACCCATGTGATCACTTTTATATAGATTTGTATCAATATTTAATAGTGATCCTTTGGGTTCTTACTCACATAGGTGTGGTCGGGTCTCATAGTGTTATTACTCTTTTTTTTTTCTATTAATAGTTTCTGGTGTTCTTTATTCAGACACATAAGGAGTGCGTTTTTATTCTTTTGAAGTTGGTCTCGCTAGATTGAGGAGGCTACATCCCAATATTTAGAGTCCTAAAAATACTCCTAGTTTGGTTTTACCTGCACACGAGCAAAAGGTTGATATGCTCCTACATGAGCATAAAATCTTTTGACTTTGTTTTAATTTAATATTCCAAATTATACCGCACTTGGGTCGCTTAAAACTCCAATTTAGTTTTATTATTGTATTAGACCTTTTAGTTTAATTATTGTATTGGGGCTTTTAATTTCTATGGAGATTCATGATTATTGGGAATTCTCTACTGGGAGTTTCTGTACTTGGTTTCTTGAAAGCCTTGTTTAGGTTTTAGTCCTTTTATTAAATTAGGGAGTTGGCTTTTTATTGGAAGTCGTTTTGTTTATTTGGAGTACTGATTGATTAGGATTGATATGAGTTGGAGTTTGACTGGAAATGGGTAAAACAGATATAAGAGAACACAACTATTGATTAGAAAATAGCATGTCTCTCTCCATGCCAAATCATAGAGAAATACAAATTTTATGCTGTAAAATAGAGCCATCTAGCAAAAAATATGAATAAATACAACAATCCATAAAATGCAAACATTTAATTACCGTAAAGTATTTGTTAGGACTTCCATTGTATAAAACGGCACCTTAAACAAAAGCGAATATTTCGATCTTAACAATTATAGATGCATAAAAAAATAGATCTCAAGTATCGAAAGTGGTTTTTTTTCTGAAATATTTTTTGGACTGTCTATTTCAAGTATACTCGGATATGCCAAGCGTATGGTATTTTTGAAGCTTCAAATTCTATAATTAGGAGCATAATTAGATTTACATGTCATCATAAAGGTTTCTAACTGCAATACTTTTTTATTGATTTGGACATATAGCATTACTAAATGTCACGTAGGCACGACGTTCCGTAAACGATACCATTTTATTAGCACTCAATCACCGGCAATAGGCAAGTGAACAAAAACCCTAGCCCAATGTGGCACCTAGAGGCCCAACCCAGATATAGTTGAAGGACCCCTAGCCCAGCTTAACGCTAGCACCTAGAGGCCCAGCCCATACATAGTGGAAGGACCCCTAGCCCAGGCCCATCTCAAGGCCTCAGCTAGGGTGGTTCGGCTTGGCCCTAGCCCAGTCCCAAGTAGTCAGGCCCGATTCAAGTTGGTCTTTGTTGGCTATAATGGAACCCAAAGCTACATAGATCCAATAAAGAAACCAGACCCAACTAAGCATAACCCACAGGCTAATCCAGGCCCAACCAGGCATCAGGCCAAATTCTATAGTCTGACGCCCAACTGCGTGAACCAGCCGCCCCACTGGCAGCCCTAGACTCCAAACAACACAAACTAAATCATGATTTATCTATGTGTAAGCATTATGAACTTCTACTAATAGCCACACTACAAGTTATGATTTCAAAACCTTTGCAACTTGATGAATTAAGAATTAAAAGACACTTGGGTAAAGGCCATGAAATTTGATTAGTAAGTTTTTGTGTGTAGTATTATCCTAATGGAAATTGTTAATCCCTTATTCATTACGAATCACATTAAGAACCAAGACAAGATACTTGAAAATAAGGAAAAGGTATTCGTCTCATGATAAGTAGACAAGAAGACGCAAAAAGAGCGAGAATCCACGTGAAACTCATCGATTCAAGAGAGAGAGACTAGTAGCGAGTGCATGTCTACAGGAGGGTAGAGAGAGAGAGACTAAAGGTGAAGAGAGAGAGAGAGAGACGGAC